CAGTTCTGCATAACGGACATGTTCGGCTATCTTGTTTGGGGTGTGAGTGGATGTAAATGTTCGGATGAGAGGCTAACGTTTTATTTGCTGGTTTTCCTAGTAAAACAATCAAAACTATTCCATAGAAGTCTAGCAGGAGAAGTTGTGTGTCAGTGCGCCCGCATTAGCTTACCTGGTATGTGCGTGTTGCCTGTGTGTGTGTTTTGTGTGCATGTCGCGGTTGAAGGAAAGAAACAATGTATAAAAAAACGTACACCGTCTGTAATTTACCAGAATGAAAATGCTCCGGAAGGTGATGTTTGGTCGCCTTACAGCTGCGATCTAACAAGACTTTGTTACGCTAGATGCTTGGTCTTCGTCGTTTTGCCTCCAAGCAGGAAAATGGTGAAAGTTAGCTTGTTTTCCACCTTTATTCCCCTGGCGATCGCGTGTGTCACCCCACAACACAACAATGATTTACTAGTTGTGTGATATAACTGATCAAATGAATAATATTAATTTAAGCCGCAAGAACGAGATTAAGCACACTGCTTACAGCAGTAAAAAGCAACAAGTAACGACTCACACGCCTTCAACGGGGCGGTTGCGTCGGTGATGACATCACGATCACAAACTCTATGGGGCTAAAATTGCTATTTTCTGATTCCGTTATGGGCCATGGATTTCACACATAATATCTGTGAATTTTTAAAGACGCATTTTGATACCAACAAAGTGCTTATTTTCAAACGGCGAAATGTTATTTTAGGTTTTGTGTGAAAATAAGTCCAGGACTACAAACCAGACATGGAGAAAAACAAATGGAAAATGGCTGTAAGTTTATCGAACTTGAAATCCTTCCTTCAGGAGGAAAAAACAACCATAAATCTGGCCATTTGGTAAGTAACAGTTACACTAGAGGAGAAGACATTTTGTGGTCATACATGCGACGTACCAACATCTTATTTGTGTTCATGTTAATTACAAACTTTTACAAGCTGAAAAATCTCAAAGTACGTAACGGGCATGGTCGAAAAACCCATCATTACTTTTCATTTAAATTACAGTACAACATATGTGCGATCCAGGGCGTAAGGCAAAGCAGACTAGAAAATAACTCTTTTAGGAAGAGCAAAGTTGACTTGCATTCATTTTTTCGTTCTTCCGAGGACCCATGAGCCGACCAGAAAGGGAGGAGACTTAGGCTCCCTATGCCTCTTGCCAATTTCCTCTGAACAAAAGCAATGTGTGGTTTCTGACAGACCTTGTGGTCAATGATCACACATGGAAATTTTATATTTTAGGTCTCTACAGAGGTGCTCAATTGGGTCTAATTCAGAGCTCTGGCTGGGCCATTCAAGAACAGTTTTTAATAAATCTGCAGACATTTTTAAATTCTGTTTTTCTGTGAATATGGCGTGCTGTGTACTTTCTGTATCCACTGTAAATAGTCCTTAGTCTCGCTCAGCCGTTGGCATTTTTAATGTTTTCATTTTAAATATTTGATTGTCATTTATGCTTTAGTTTTGAAGGTTTTTTCTTTTGCTGCTTCGTCAGCATCAAAGATGAAATCTTCTCTCTGTCCATCCTCCCATTGTTGAGAGGAGATCTGTAACCTGAAACATAGATTAATGACACATGAACATTAAAATAATCCTCTTTTAATTTGTGATTTCTAGTAAATCTCTGTGATCGTAGCTGGAATGAAGAGATTAAAACACATTTTTTTGTGTATCATTTTGTAATATATAGTGGGATTTTAAAGCCACATACTGAGTGTCTGATGAGTCACACAGATCAGATGACACACTGCTGTCACAACTGGAGACCATGTATTATTTATTCATGACAAAGTCAGCATTAAATACTCTAATCAGCATATCACTGAGATCCCTAAGAAGTGAGTTCAGTATTTACTATCCTAATTTACCATCCTGCACCCACGTTTATTTATTTATAAGTCTAACCTTCTTGTTTCAAATATATATGGTTTATCAGGGCTTCAGATGATCAATGCTTTTAGAAGTAAAATACATTAAATCCAAATAAAAGTGTCTGATATGAGAAAAAAGCTACTTTTATTAGTGACCGAGACATTTTTAGATCAGTTAATTTTTTTAAACAACAGAATCAAAGCAGACAGGTGGTCTTTGCAGCAATTAAAAAGGTTTATTGTAGCAAAGATTAACTTGAGTAAAAGAAGAGGCACTGCAAGATAAACAAAACCAGTCCGTACAAGTAACTTGTCTGTAACCCACTGGGAGAAAACCAACTTGACTAAATTAACTAAACACAAAAGTCTGGATAAAGCTGTGCTAAGATGTAACACATCACAGACACAGGGAGAACAGCCGAATCTGCGCCCCTGAATGACTGAAAAGCTTGGCTTTTAAAGGCTTGAGCAGTCCAATTACAAGGTCTCTTCAGCTGGTTCTCTGTAGCTGGTCCTGCGCAGCAGCGTTCCTCTCTCCGTGAAGCTGAAGCTGGAACAGCGCCGGAGAGGAGGGGGCAGCCATCAGGCGCTGTCCATGGTACTGAAGGCAGAGGGAATTTACGGAGACTGTAACACCTAAAAAAGAAACATTGCTAATTTAATTAAATTCCCCAAATGTGAGAAGATGATGGTTTTCTTCACACACAATCATTATTAATATATAATCCATGCAACCAATTGAAAATAACATCCTATAAGAGTCTCGCAGCTTCTTGATTTTGCTGGTTAATCACGGAGTCTCTGCATCCTTTTTATTAACAGTGTCATCTTAAAAACTGTTTATTAGCATGTCTAAAGAGGGAGAGGTGGAGCATCAGAAAAGGAGCCACTGGAGGAGAAAGACAGTCATAAACAGAGATTTATGGGTAGTGTGGTCGTTAAACTGATCAGCCGGGGTGGTGTGACTGATGCCTTTAAGCACACGCAACACATCTTTAGCTACATGTGCCAAACATTCCCCGTTACTCATTTCTATAAACTTGTTCAGATTTAAACTCTTGGGAGACTTATATGGCGATCAGTCCAACACGCGCGCGCACACACACACACACACACACACACACACACACACACACACACACACACACACACACACACACACACACACACACACACACACACACACACACACAGACACACACACACACACTGTCACACCCTGTCCTGTCTCCCCACTCTGTTCTGCCTTGTGTCTCCTGATTCCACCTGCCTCTCGTTTTCCAATCACCCAAGCTCCCAGCCCTCATGTATTTAAACCCTCTCAGTTCTGTGTGTCTTGTAGATCCATTGTTTCATGTCCAACGTGTTCTATTAAAGCTTTTCCACACCGTTCCTAGCTTCCTGCCTTCTTCCCCAGTGTGTGGATCCTCACCTCCGGCTCAACTCACCTGTGCGCTGTCACACAACACACACGCACACACGCACACACACACACACACACACACACACACACACACACACACACACACACACGCACTCACTCACGTGCACACACACACACACACACACACACACACACACACACACACACACACACACACACACACACACACATTCAGTGCAGCAATAAGCGATGAAGGACACATCAAGGAGAAACAGGAAGCTGAGGACAGATGAGTAATCAAAGTTCTTCTGACTAATGAATGAGAGTTTAAAGTCCAGCATGTATTCGTGATGGAGGAGGCTCTATTGTGTTGTTGGCTTTTTGCCATGTGGTGAAAAATAGTGCATATGGCTTATCCATCTAACACCCTGACACCTGTGTTCTTTGTGTTTCTCTAAACTGGAAGCAAAACACAAAATGAAATTCCTGAGTGCTTCCCACACAGTTGTCATATACAGGTGAAGCTTGGAAAATTAGGATATGGAGCAAAAGTCCATTTATTTCATGAATCCATCTTAGACTGAGAGACCATCTAAAGGCTCAGGGACTCTTTGCAGGTGTTCTGGAATCTTTAGCAGGTTAGAGTGATGACGCTAGAATGTTGAACCTTTTCCCAATATTCTAACTGTCTGGGAGTGAATGTGGGGTTTTCATAAGCTGCAAGCCATAATCATCCCAGTTATATAAAGGCTGACATTTCTGACTTTGCAGTTAATGAGTCTATCTCATATATTTATTTCACCTTTTAAGTTGAATTGCTGACAATATTGGACACAGACAGGGACGTCTGGAAGTACAAGAATGACTTACACTGAGTTTATTCATATATAATGTTTACAGCCGTTAACAGATGTAAACAATGTGTTTCTTTTGTTTGCAGTGAATTGGTTTTTACTTTGATTTTGCACAATGCTGTGAAAATGCAGTAAAAACGTAAACGTGTCTTGTGCTGATTTTCCTCACTAAATACAGAGATGTGTAGCTGACATGGAGAAGCAAACTGTGAACAGTGCTTCTTGATCTGACTTTATAGCACTGGAAAGCACACATAATGTTATAATTAAAACGTGTCAAATTAGATTTTCCAGTAAGGATGGGATTTCTCATTTTGATGGCACTGACACACTTTTACTGACACGAATCTTTGATTTTAATGAATGAATGAATATCCAATCTGAGAGAGCAACATGCTTTTGAAGGTTACTTGTGGTTTGCAAAAAATCATTATTATCATATTAATCCTAAAAAAATACAGGTCAAGGAATAAATGCACACGTTAGTTCTGATTATGAAAAAACCCAAAGGAGCTACCAGTAAATTGTATCTAGAATAACAAACTCATTTTATTGACAATATACAATCAAAAGCAATAAAACAACGCAATTTGTGGAAAGAATAGACTTTTCTTATTGTTCTTCATCTGCACCAGCTGTTTGATTTGTTTTTATTTGACTTTTTATTTAAAATTATCCTGGCTGGGTTTTCTGATGACCCAGTGATAAAAAAAAACCACAAAAGCATAAGATGTGCGTCTGCCTCATGGGTGTATTTTGTTTTGTTGGAGGCGGTGACTGCACCGCCTTGTCGGTGTGTGCGGTGTTCAGCATTAAGCGCACCCAAACCACGGACCGGTCCTCTCTTCCCAACTCCTCACATCCTCACACACACCTAAGTACACACACAACCAATTTCATACACACACACACTCATATACTAGCGCTACTGAGTTAGGCAGACCCAGAAAACCGGTCCGGTTCTATAAACGCTCCCCGGACGGATCCCCGACGAGGACATTTTTAATATCTAATCACTTGGATTTTTTCTCTGTAAATGTATCTGCGCTCTAGTGTGATCCGTTATTTTGTAAATGCCATATAACCTCGTTGAATGGGAATCAGAAAGGCGTCAGCGGCTCTCCTCCCATCCAGACCAGCACGTGCGTCTTTTCCCTGCTGAAATTTGCGCACCGGAGACCGGACCCGGTGTCAGCACTCAGCCGGGCCGGGCGCGCGTCGTCTGGGAGGAGTAGTCGGGATGGATTCTTTTTTCACAGAGGTAAGCCAAGGTTGTCGCTGAAATCGCGCTAAACATAAATAGTCAGGCGTAGGCGTAATAATCTGGGTTTAGCGCATTTTCCTCCTTCCCGGATGCGCTTTGGATATACCTTCTGATTCATGTCGGGTGCTTTTGTCAGGTGTTGATTTATCGCAGTCGACTGGAAGCGCCAGTGACGAAACCGCAGGAAACAGGCTATCCGCGAATCAATTAGAATAACAGCCTGTGTATTAACTGCCATTGCAGAGCATCGCTGCAGAAAATCTGGTCAAAGGAGGGCTGATACAGGCTTTTGCCCCCAGAAGGCTTTCGGATTAAAGCCAATCTGTGAAGGGAGGCTATGCAGCGTTGATCTGCAGCAGTCCTGCAAAATGCAACGCGGTGCATGGAGCCTTTTCTGTCATTTTTATTTTGAATGGAAATGGGATTGGGAGTGGATCCATGGGCCCATTCCAGGAGGGTGTGGAAGGATTATCAGAAGCAGGAGGGGGCTAAAATAGCACCTGGTATGAATAGAATAACAGGCCCTTAATTCAGATGCAGCTGGGAAAGAAACTCATTTCTTGCATCAACATGATAAGAAAACACTGTTTGATATCTAGAACATTCATCATATGTGGTCAACCCCTCCAGAGATGCTTCCAACTTCATTCTTCCACCTAATTCTAACAGACAGAGAAACCCTTGGTGCCAGTTTCTGTCCCACCCCCACCCCCTCCCATTTTAGGTTAACCTGATATGGGTTTAAATGCCTCTTATATTGGCAGTGATGTCATTCCATTTATCAGCGTGTGAGTGGTTGTGCAGCTGGGTCCACAGAGGTCACCGCTCTCTTTTTTTATCTGTCTAGTAGGCATAACATGACTGACCATCAGAAGCCGCTTGGTCCGCTAAATGCAACAGCTATCTCTCCTCCTTCATTTCCCGTCAGCCTGTCTGTAATTTCATTGATCTCTGCATTGATTTGCAGACCACCATGCTGCCCCAAACAGCTCACAATGAAAGCTTTTGTTAGATCTAAAAATGCAGTGAGTTATTGAGTTACACTGTTTAGGCGTGCAGCCATGCACATACGACACACATGGCTTTACTAGGAGATGACCATCCATAGCATCTCTCAGTCAAACACTGCTGCATTCCTCAATTTGTCATGCTAGTCTCCTAAACCTGCAAGAGCAAACAGTTGACTCTACTCTGTGTCGTTCTCTCAACCCAGTCAGAAAACGTGATATCTGATTGGTCAGCCGAGTGATGAATGTCAGGTGGCATTAGACCACTGTAAAACCCCTGCATGTTAGTGGTGGAATGAAGCAGCTGTAGTGATAATAAATGCTGCAGACATGCAGAAAACAAAATTTAGCCATAAAGTTTAACAGAAGGAGCAGACTTGATAATATAAATCAAGAAGGATTTGCCTATATTGACATATTTTCATGTTTTATCATAAAGGATTGTTTCCGCCTGGACCATTTTAGATGTGACACACACTAAGCCAGGTCACTTTTATAGTTGTGATTGCCTTTGTCAGTGTTAAGATAATTTCATTTTGATTTTGTCATTAAAACCTGGTAACAGCCAGTCATGTTAGCATTATTAGCGCCGGTTAGCATAAAGCTGCTAAACAGTCTGTTTGTATTATTCAGTAACTTGTAAAGTAGAGAAGGTGTTTTAAATTAACTGCGATAAAATTGTGATATGATATTTTCCCACTGTGATCTTTGTGTTCTGTTTCAAGTTACAGGAAGCTTCATAAGTGCCAACACGTTCAGGGGTTTTAGTTGTGGCTTGATCTAAAATCTAACTGGGTTTTGTGGAAAGTTCTTTATAAAGATGGAAAAAGAAATGAAAACATATAATTATGCAGACAAAACCAATTCATCAGTCATCAAATAGTTAAATAGTAGAATGATAAATCAGCTATTAGATAATAGTTTTTTTTTTAGAAAAGACATTAATTAAACATAATTAAGAAGAAGCTATTTTTTATTCTAAAAACATCCCTGAGTTTATGCAGACTGGGTTAACATTCAGGTTTATGTGTACCTGAACAGCATGGACAGTATGTAGTCTCAGGAGGAGATTTCACATGTGTATGGGCTATTATAGTATTGTTTACATGTAAGCAGTGATGCATTTTTGTATTTACATTTGCATACATTACATCACATTTTCCACCTAGGTTATACAGCTTTAGGTTTCTTTAGTTGCAGCAAATAAGAGCTAATTTAGCAGAGCTTGTGTTCATGCATGCTAGATGTCATGTAGCGTGCTACATGCAGAGCATTCTGCAGAAATCTGGTTCACTGGAGGGAAGCGAACAGTCACTGGAGATGTGTGACCTATATTTGGAAACTCCTAACACATTTGTTCAGCTCAGGATCCGCATCAGCTCTCGCTCTCCTCCTCCTCTTCCTCTCCTCTGATGCTCTTTCTCTCCTCGCGGCCACGTTCTCCATCTCCCACAATCAAACATCCAACCAACCACGTTCATCGCTGCTCCTCCCCCCAGCTCTCTGTTCTTTCTTCTTTAAATTATCCAATTTTTTACCTTTTTGTTTGTTACGACCTGGTAGCAGTTTGTCACACATAGTGCATCTCTCAGAATCTTGATTTATCAAACAGCATTAAAAGAATTTGGCAGGGATATTAATGTTTAATTAACAGGCTGAATAAAACAACAAAAAAAGCATTTTTAACATTCTGCATCACTTTTAATTTGGCCATTTGTTGTAAAGTTTTAATCACGACTTCTGCAACATGAGCCTCCTTTAAAAATATTGCAACAGCAATAAAAACACAGATTATTAATGATAAATTATATGATTATTTAGGTCAAGGATAATGTGCTAATCTGAGTTTATGAATTGATTTAACTTCCATCTGATGCAGTAGGTTGCAGGGATAGACACACAGGTTGTCTCACTGCCCAGTCTATGAGGTCACATCTATATAATCCACAGATCGTCCAGTATTTTCAATGTAATCCCTTTTATTGGCCTGTGATACAAAACAGCGATCATAAATTATGGTAGTGAATAGAGTGTGTGCTTAAGAAAATACTGCTGTTTCTTAGTTGTTTCTACTTTCTCTGTAGTTTCAGATTATATGACCAGAATATGTGGGGGTTTAAAAGAGATTGCAACAAATCCTTTACTTCATTTAAAGGTTTTGTGAGAATTAACAATGATTAAAGGATTAAATCTGTGTGGTCTAATCCTTTTAATTAAACTAATTCTTTTAATCTAATCATTTATAGTTACAGACTTATTTAACTGGCTCATACATGAAAAGCAACAAAAATAAAACAGTGTTCAACTCCAACTCCCAGCATCCATCAGTGCCTGGAGGAGAAAGGCTGTTTCCATGGTGTTGCTGTGGATTCTTGTTGCCATGGTGATGTTGTGGGAGTGTGTGGCTGTATGTTGACAAAGATGGGAAAGAGAATGGAAATGAGCAAAACTTGAAAGATGGAAACAAAACCACGGGCGAAACGTGCTAACAGTTGGTTGATGTTTGTTTTTAGTTCAGGTGCTGATGAAGCAGGGATGTGGTTGTGCCTTTTACAGATTCCTCTCTGTGAGTTCGTAAACCAGATAAAACGTCACCACTAATCAAAATAAGCAAACAAAAATGGCCCCAGCGCCACATTTCACATATGTTTTATTTGTGATACATTTTCACGTCGTTAATGATGATGATCACACACAACGTCAAAACTCTGTTGTCTATTTTTTTCCTGTTTATGCATCAAATGACTCTCTCTTGCATACTTCACATGAATCAAAAACTTTGTGTCCCTGCCTGAAAAAAATCTATTATATTGACTTTTCTGTAGCGCTGACAAGTGACTTCCTGACTTAACATAACGACGCCGTGCTCTTTAACAGATTTCTATGAGATCGGTGGCTGTGCCTCAGCAGAAGGTGCAGAGGGTTTTGGCTCATCAAATGCAGCGATGTTCGGTGATCCTGCAGCCAGATGCATTTGGCGTTAAAACACTTTAGCAGCCATGCAGAAGCATCAGCGCTAATTACTGCGGTTCCTCTGCACTTCCAAGTGCTGCAAATGTAAATACTGTAGACTGTGTCGTCAGAGTAAATCAATAAAAGATCTAAAAGCAGAGGAAGCAAGCTTTACTAAATGGGACATTATGCAGTTTTCACATGCAGAAATCAACCATGACTTATTTAAAACTGGTGGCTGTTTAAAAATATCTTAGCATCAATTACATTTTCATATTAATAGAGCATTTTTGCCTTGTGTAAGTGTTAAATAATGGTGATGGAACACGATAGTTATAATATAAGTGGTCTATTGTCAAAGATTGTTAAATAATTGAATCTAAAACATATTTATACAATATTCATGTGTGACTTTAGGTGTGTTTGTTTGCCCCCAGATGTTTGTTTTGAACCTACAGTGTTACCATAACCTCTTTCTGTGACAAATGTGACTTATATACAGCCAGGTGACCTCCGCCCACCCACGCTCACACACACAAGCAGATGTTGCTGCCCTTCCAGCTGCTGTAATCTGCTTACATCCTCCCTGTCCTGATTGTATTATCACCTTTAATGGAAGATTGCTGACACAGTTTAGGTCTCTGACAAAGACTGGGCTGCATCGGCAGGAAGGATCAGGGAGCTTCATCGTGATTAATTCTGGAAAAAAATCAACATTTATACAGCTTTTACCTTCCATACATTACTCCCTATAAAAAGCTGTTTTTTAGTACCTTGAGCAGCTTGTTGATAGTTAGATGACCCAAAAATACAGCAAATACAAATATTCAAATCAAACATTGAAGAGCCAACGATCTTTATTAACATTTGATGTGCTTCATCACCTCCGTCTTTTCTCCAGCAATGGAACTAGCTCCCTTAAAGTGGAGGTTCACTGAGAGATGAACAAAAGTTAATCTCTTTGAAATACAGAGTTTCTCATGCAGGTTGAACACTTAAAATAATCTTCATCCCCTATTTCCTGCCTTAACCCTCAAA